AAACCATGAATAAAAGCTGTACTTTAAAAAAAGAAATAGACTCTGCAACGTAATTTTAAAACCAGAGTAATTAACACAAACATTTGTTATGAAAAGTAACAAAAACACTTTAAAAATGATCATAAAATATATACACCTTGGGAAAAAATTCAAACCCACTATTCCACCAAGAAGATGGAGAATTGCATAAGATGCATAGCGCAAAGTGAAAATACCCCAAGCAACTATTTCTTACATTCAATTTATGAAGAAAGCAGGAAAAAAAATTAAATATAAGAAATAACCATATTTGGGAAAACTGGACTGTTGGTAAGTATGCATTAGCGAGCATAATACATAATTAAATGACATACCTTTCTCTCTGTTAAGTTCAGAAGACTTATGAAGCCAAATACGTGATCTTCATTCTCGTCATCATCACTGTCTTCCTGACCTTCAGCTTGCTGTGAAGTAAATTACAAAAGAAAGGTTGTTAATTTGTAAACTCATCTGAGAGGGTTTAAGGCAGAATTGATGTTAAAAGAAAAAAAAGTTATTGCATTTTGCAATATTTGCATGGAAAACAGCCACCTCCTTACAGAGATAAAGAAGAAAAAAAAAAATTTTTTATATATATATATATTCTCTTTATAGAAATGCCACTAAATGATGGAAGTAGGCAAATCTGGGTGCACAATCCGTTAATGTGAATTAACAATCACAAAAATGATACAAACTGTTGCAAAATGTATCAAACAATATTAGATTGTGGTGTAAAGTAAATTTTGCCAAGGTTTGCACGGATACTGTAGGCACACAGACCACTTTAGCTCATTGAAATGGTTTGGGTGCAGTGTCCCAACATCCTTAACCATGCAAAGGTAATTATTGCAGTTTTTTTATACTTTGTCGCCTGACACTGGACGCCCTCACGCTATGCAGGAGGACTTCTAGCGTCACCGAAATCCCCCTAGGAAAGCATTGAATATTGCTTTCCTACTTGGAAATCATAATGTGAGTGCAGGCCATTGCCAGACGTCAGCTGGCAGGGGAGGAGAGAAGGTGGACCAGAGCCAGCACCTAGGTACATTGGTGCTGGACCTGGGTAAGTGACAGAAGGTAAATGCACCATGGGGGGGCCTTGACAGAAGGGGGAAGCTATAGTGCAAGGAAAACGAGTGACACGGAAGCCCCTTTAGGAAAGCACATGACTTTTGCCACGCATGTGCATTAGGCCCGCAATACTCTTCAATAAATCTAGTACCTCCATTTCCTACACTGACATGGCAAATTGTACTCATTTAAAGAAAGCAGGATACCCAGGGCAAGGGTTCTTAAGCCACTGAAGGTTTTGGTCACAGCTCATGGCCCTCTCAAAAGCTGGCTGTAAGTAATGCACATCGAACACTGACTGTGAGTGTTGACAGCTGCTGACCAGCAGCAAGTATTCCCTTCTAAAAAGTAGCACAACCTGAGAAGAAAGGTGAAGAAAAACCAGTTGCAAGATCAGCCCTGTCACTTTTTTGTATCTTTTATTGTAAATGTACAAACAAAACCTTAACTCCACGATTTGTACAAACTGGGCACGGTGCAGATCTGTGAAACCCTGAGGTTTTAAAACTGCAGATCTACATTAGGTGGAATAATTCAGCGTTCGTTTTACAGCAATAAGTATTTTGGGAGATATTCGGTTATGCATCTGTAATGCGCAAAAAACACACTTGAGGATCAAACAGGGAAACGTCTTTAAAAACGGTAAACGGCGTGCAGTTTAGCCAGCGCACAAAATAATGATGCCACATTAACAGGGATACGTGAAATGTTTTGACTCCATGAATCGTCCCGATGAGCAGTTTATTAATACATCATTGGGACACACAACTGAAATTAATAAAAAGGCTAACTACCTAGTAATGCAAAATGTAGTTGGTTTCTATTAATTATTCATTTTACATACAAAGTGTTACCTTAATGACACTTCCAATGTGATTCTGCTGAATCAACAGATCGGTTAATGAAGATATATCCACATGAGCCTTCAGGAAGAGCTAAAATAAAGCAAAAAGAAGTGTTTAAAAAACAGCACTGTGGGAATATTTTCAAGTGATACAAGACATTCTGTATTAGGTTTAAAAACATTTCTTTTCATTTTCAAATAAGCAATCTAGCCTTAAACCAGGCCTGTCATTGTTTTTTATGTTGTTGCATAATAACCATTTTAATTGTGTCTATATTGCTTTCCTTCCTTTTTAAAATGTGTATTATTTCTACTGCTTAAACCTTCTTCCATTTCTCAAAAAGTTATTATTTACTGAAATGCAAACGGTCACTCAGAAATTTAAAGGAATATCACATTTTAAGCCGCAATAGTCAAATTAGGAGAAAAAAAAAAAATCTGTTATGTTTTCAGTTTGACTATTTTGGCCTGAAATGTAAATGTTATTTGTTGAAATCCCACGAAAATACACTTTAGTGAATAAATCTATGGATGTAACTTGACTATTGGCACATGCCATCCAGTTACAAGACAGAAAACGACAATTATTCTTTGCAACCAGTAAATCAGTCCATGATTTTAAATAATGCCTAGAATTATAAAATTGAAAAAGGATATATTAAAGTCCTTATTTTGGGCACAAAATTCCTCGGTCCCTCTTTTCTATTCTAATTTCTCTTTTCTAGGAGCTCATTATTTTTGGTGTGTCTGCTGCAGTCTATAATTTGTAATAACAGCCTTTACATTTGTCCATAAGAACACCTCTAGTGGCGAGACTCCATGGATTATTCATCATTAACGATGATCTGAGCCAAGGGTACCGGTGTGTGATTAAAGGGGAGTAAATCTGCTTTCCCAGATGTATCCAAGTCAGCGCTACAGATGGGTATAGATATTCCCACTCCTAAATTGGACAGGAACACCTCCTAATTTAATAATAAAAGAAACTCCATCCCCTACAACCTCAGTCTTTATTTCCATGTCCACTTCACTTGGATTCAGAATGCTCTGCACCTCCTTTTTCTTTTGTGGCTCACTTGGGTCTATGGTACATCCCCATAGAGATTCAGTGGATTGCTCATCATTACCGATGCTCTGAGTCAAAGGTGGATAGATGTGGTCCCCATAAATCTAAAACACTAGGAAATATCTCTAGAATTAGAACTACATGTTTGTACATTAAACCCTTCGTGACCAGACAGCTTTTCAATTTTCTTACCGTTAAGGACCAGGGCTGTTTTTACATTTCTGCTGTGTTTGTGTTTAGCTGTAATTTTCCTCTCATTTACTGTACCCACACATATTATATACCGTTTTTCTCACCATTAAATGGTCTAACGATACATTTTCACATCACAATTTACTATAAAAAAAATTTAAATTAAATATTTTAAAAAATTAACCCAAAAAAAAAACAAAACAAAAAAAACACACCCCACCTTTTCTAACTTTCACCCCCAACATTTCTTACGCATCTACAGCGGCCAAAAACACCTGTGCTAAATGGTTTCTAAATTTTGTCCTGAGTTTACAAATACCCAATGTTAACATGTTCTTAGCTTTTGGTTTGCACGTTATAGGGCAATAACTTGCTGGCATTTCGGATCTGGACTGCCCGTATGGGTGGGACCAGTCTGATATGCTTCAGATATGTTCTCTCTGTAATGGCACAAGTTGAGCTAAAACCAGCTTGAGTTCTGAGCGGGGACCCACCGAAGGGCAGGCTATTTTAGCTGCTGTCAGTTCTCAGAATACTCGTGCGACCCATTTTTTGCTCTCCTTATAGGGCAATAAGTTCAAGTAGCACTTTGCTATTTCCAAACCATTGTTTTTCAAATTTAATGAAAAAGTTACATTGTAACACTGATATCTGTCACGAATCCCTGAATAACCCTTCACATGTATATATATTTTTTTAAAAAGAGACAACCTAAGGCAAGCATGTTAAACTCAAAGGCTAGCAGGAGCCAAATAAACAAGGTTTTTCATTAAATTTGAAAAACAATGGTCTACTAAATACCAGACTCCCCCTCATCTACTAAATCCCTGCCCCTGTTTAAAAAATAAACTGCCAACAAGCAGTGTCCGGAGTCCAGCCTCTGGCATACCCCAATGGCCCTATCCGCACCTTAAAAAAAAAAAGTAGATCCTCACGTTACTTCTTGAAACACACACAGGCTCCCTCACAGACGCTCCCACACACGCACACACAGCCATAAACACACGTGCGCGCACACACACACAGCCACACTGGGGTCTAGTGGGGCCGCTGGGCAGACAGGCTCGGGTGGATAGGCAGTCAGGGAGTGCTGAGTGTAAGCTCTCCCTGCCCAGTTCCCTTGCGCGCTGCAGTGATGCCAGAAGATGGAGTGACGCCATATTCCGTCTCCCGGCATCACTGTGGGGAGAGCTTACACTCAGCACTCCCTCGCCGCGGCCCACATAAATATTAGTTGTGGGCCACGAGTTTGACATGGCTGGCCTAAGGTTTTAAACTTGGGGTATTTTGGCTCTTTTCATGCAACCATTTTACCACCAATCTATGTCAAATTAAAAAAAAAAAAAATTAGTAATTTTTTGGACACATGTAGCAGTTTAAGAATACATGTACTGAGAACATTAAGGGTTACTTCCAAAGAACACCCCAATATGTGTTCAGCAACATCTCCTGAGTACAGTGATACCACCCATGTATAGGTGTGATGGGTTCTCTGGGGGCCACGTGGTCACAATCCCTGGCCAAAATTAGTGTTTATATTAGTTTTGTTGCATTTTTCACACAAACTGCCATTTCACCAATGGTATTATTAGTAGGATACATTTTACTGCTCTAAAACACATTTGTGTAGAGTAATGTCTCACAACAACAGTACCCCTCGTATAGGTTTTATGGTGATTTGGAAAGTTATAGGTTCAAACATAAGATTTGCCAATTTCATTTTTTGTAAATTGCTATTTGCCAGATTGGCTATGTTGCCTTTAAGACGGTATGGTAGCCCAGAAATGAAAATAAACCCTACCACGACATACCGTTTGAAAAAGTAGACAGCCCAGGGTATTCAAAATGGGGTATGTCCAGTTTTTGTAGCAGCCACTTAGTCACAAACCCCAAATTTAGCATTTATATTTGTTCGTGTGTGAAAAATGCAAAAAAACGAATATGAATGCTAAATTTGGCCAGTGTCTGTGACTAAGTGGCTACAAAAAAAAAAAAAAAAGCCTGGACATACCCCATTTGCAAAACCTTGGGTTGTCTACTATTGCAAATGGTATGCCATCATGGGGGTATTTCTTTTTCCTGTGCTACCATACGGTCTCAAAGACACCATTACCAATTTGGCAAATTTCAATGAAAAATTATATTTAATTTTACATTTTAGGTGCCTGGGGGACTGCCTGATTGCTCAGGCAGTCCCCCTGCTGGCAGCTCCATAGACTTCCACTGCAGCCATGTGATCATGATGATCACATGGCCCTGGAGGGCCAGAGTTGCAGCAGGGGTGACTGCTTAAATCTTGGGCAGCGAGTACCTGGGTCATTTTAGACCACGGTCATTAACTGCTATTTTTTGTCGGACGTACCCTGCGCGTCCGAGGTCGGAAGGTGTTAAAGATTACTTAAAAAAAAAAAAAACAACAACACACAAAAATCACTGTAGCTTGCTGAAGTACTTCATGTGTCTGGAAGCGGTCACATTTGTAAAAATATATCAGACTGTTAGCTCATATGAGCAGGGCCTTCATCACCTTTGGCCCAGGGCAGGACCAGCCTACCGGGAAATTTCCCGGCAGGCCACCTGCCCTGGGGCCACTTTGTGCTGTGGCCCTCCCGTGGGCTGCAGCCGAATGTGTACTTCTGTGACTGGCCAGGGGCCACAAGAGTGCATACACATTCCTCCACACCGGCCTCCAGATGTGGCTGGCTGTGTGCAGAGCTGGCTGCTCGCAGTGCCAGAGGAGCATGTGTCCAGCTTGAGCAGAGAAGATCATGCAGGGCTGGGCTGCAAGATGGCTTAAGGTAGGTGGAAGAGGGACTTGGGCGAACCTTCCTGTAATATAGTGTATTAAATGGGGGGTGGGAGAGAATCAGGAGGGGTGGAGTGTATTAAATTGGGAGGAGGTAGGTGGGGCAGTGTATTAAACTGGGGGGAGGGCAGTGTGTTAAATTGGGGAAGAGGCAGTGTATTAGAGTGGTGGGAAGGAGGAGAGCGCAGTGTATTAGAGTGGTGGGAAGGAGGAGAGCGCAGTGTATTAGAGTGGTGGGAAGGAGGAGAGCGCAGTGTATTAGAGTGGTGGGAAGGGCCCACAGAGGCTGTATATTTGGGTAGCATAGTAAGTAACTCAAAGTGAAGCTTTTGAGAGAGTGATAGAGATAGATACACTCAAAGACTAACACAGGCCAAATAAACAAGGTTTAAGTTTATATGGGCCGAAAAAAAAAAAAGTTTGACCTAGACCAACGCAAATTATATATATTTGTGTTGGTCTAGGTCAAACTTTTTTTAAGCAGTAGATCACACATTAATTATACAGTCATCTAGGTTTAATGCTAGTTTCCGTTGCCCATATTCCTGATATTTGTCGATGGGGACACCCAAACAGTGTAAACTGTCCCATGTAGGAGCCGAGAACGTGAAGTCACCATGCAAGGGCAAGATAATGCCCATTGAAGTGATCAAACAGTCACAATCCTCAACAGGACACACACTGCAGGATCAGGTGAACTTTTCAGCCAATCAATGCCATTCTAAGTTGGATGAACTTGGCTTTGGCAATACAGTGAGTAAGGTGCCACTCTGTAGACACCTGGAGGGCCCTTGGTTTGTGTCAAACAGCAAAAAAAAAACTGACACAGAACTAAGGGATTGATGCCAGTACCATGAATACAACAATAGACTGAAGTGGTTGTGGTGTCTACAGAAGACCTTTAACCCCTTAAGGACACATGACGTAAATATTCCGTCATGATTCCTTTTGTATTCCAGAAGTTGTGTCCTTAAGGGGTTAAGACAAACATTTCTACAAATTAAATAGAATATCAATACAAACATCAATAAGTTACCTGTTTTAAAAGTTTTTTGATTCCATCATGTTCATTGTCGGTAATTGTGTGGGCTTCAAAGTCAACGTTCACTTCCTTTGTGAGAAAAGAAATCCGTAGTAATGCTTAATAATGTACAAAAAGATTAACATTTTCCAGGAAACAGTTACCCAATGCTTTTTTGTTTGAAGAGTACCTTTCAAAAACTGGCAAGATAAAATGTCTTATATAAACACTGTTTGCTAAAGTTCTTTACCTTTGTATCATTGGCATCTACATATATAAATAATAACATGACTTCTTATTTTGCTCACAGAAATATACACACAAAAATCACCATTATCTGCCAGGATGTCATATTCCTGGTTTAAGAACAGTGTCTTTAAACAAAAGTCAGTTAATCTAGGTTTGAATAGTAATAAAAAAAAAAAAAAAAGGAAATAAAATACACTTGGTAGTAAGTATCAAAGGCAAGATACTGCTGCTTTAATAATGCAAACAACAAGGGTTGGTGGTGAGGGAGAGGTCGTTCAGTATTTATGTACAGCATTTACGTTTGTTTTCTTTTTTTTTTGTATTTACTTTAAAGGGACACTATAGTCACCAGAAGAACTACAGCTTAATGAGTATAATCAGTCCCGGCTTTCATTTTCATGTAAAGTGTTTACATTACTGCCTAGGGACACCTCCAGTGGCTACTCCATGCTCTGCGTGGAGCCGCTGTATGCTCCCTATACAGACACATTGATTCAATGCAACTATTGAGCATATGCTGATTGGCCCTGTCCCCATGTCTTCATATAAGAAAGCATTGTGATTGGCTGAGAACATCAATTCTGATGTCAGCCAAGGAATCGGATCGGGACAGCGCTGGAAATAAGGGGAGTTATTATTTAAGGGGGCTAAATAGTGTTTTAAACACTATTGGGCCAGGAATACATGTCTGTGTTCCTGAAACTATAGAGTTTCTTTAACAAAACTACTAGTGTGTTTGCTCTCATTTAGTTTATGTTTATCTAGAACCTAAAGCTTAAATTGCAGACCGCATGAGCCTTATACCAAGGTTAATTAATTGCCTGATTTAGTTACTTTTTAAATAAAAAAAAAATAAAAAAAAGTCAATGATTACCAACTCTGCAGGTGAAATTATTTGTCAAAACTGTATGGTCCACTTTCGGCATTATCTTTTGTGATACGTTTATGTTTAGGTTGCATGTGACTACAGTATTTTGTAACTAGGTTATGTGAGTGTGTTCAAGAAGGTTCATGATATATCCCTGCCAGATTATTTCCTGTTATTTGGATGTTCAAAAATAAAGTATGATCTCCCCCCTCCCCCCACCCAATAATGAAGTATGATCTCCCTCCCCCCACCCAATAATGAAGTATGACTCCCCCCTCCCCCACCCAATAATGATCCCGTATGCTAGAACGTAAATAACATTTAAAGTGTTCTAAAAAGTGGGCTCTTATTTATTTTTACAGGCTTGCAACTCCCTTTATACATTATGCACTATAATTTTTTCCCCCCAAAAAGTAGTTTGCACATCACTTACACGATAGCTTGCTTGTGCAATGCTTACACCACACTGTAAATAATGATAACAAATCTCACCTCGTGTATTTCTTCGTCTTCCTCAGATTCATCGTCTTCAATGTCATCAGAATCCTCCTCCGAGTCCTCTCCTTCCATGTCTTCGTCTCCATGGTCTTGCACAGGCAACTGTTCTCCTGGCAATGCCCGCTTCTTAGCACTAGAAGCCATGCTTTCTGCAACCCTTGGCGCAACGTGCGTGGAAGCGGAAGTAAACAGGAAACTGTCATAGACTAGACATAGTGGAAACCACGGGGGAGGCTCATTTCTGTTCTATGCAATAAATCCAGCCACTTAGCACCAGTTTGTGCGGTCCGGTCTCGGAGTACATACATATATATTAAACAGCGCACAGTTAGTCCGCAGCTATCATCCTTGGCACAGCTGGTAAGACTGTAATAAAGTCCATGGGCAGAGCGGCCCCTACTGTGTATAAAATGGTATGATCTGCGTTGTGCAGCTTAGAATCATGTCATATTGGTGAGTGAATGTCTGTAGGTCTTTTGGTTCATGGGAATATGAAATATTATATATAGTAATAATAATAATAGTAGGATTTTAGGCTTCCTTTAATAGTGCATTATTATTGTTAATTTTACATGCCACTCACAGAAATGTATAAACACAAGTTGTACAGTGCTGTGTATATTGGAGTAATTAATTGTATATTTTTCTGCCATAATATTGTGCACTGCGGAATGAGTAGGCGCTATATAAATGCCAAAAGTAATATTAATAAAGATGGCTTATGGAGCCCATGCCACACCTCCCTAGGCAGAGGCTCACAGACTGCTTACATGTTTCCTGAAAAACTGTGTTTTAATTTCGAATTGCTTGCTCAGTTAATTGCCTGTTAGAGCCTACAGCAGCCTCCTGTGTGTAATAAAAATACAATTAACAGTATGGGGCTAAAAACTTCTAAAGTAAATGCACTCTGCTGTAAAAAGGAAACTTATAATTTTCATAAAGGCTGTGTGAGACGCAGCGAGGGGGCTGTATGAAAAAAGGGATTTTACTCTTCAGCCATTCCTACACAAGGCAGACCATGTGCAGTACTCATCTGAAGTGCTTTGGCATGGGGTCCATGCTCTGAGGTTACTCGAGTAGGCAATTGTGTCTGATTCACTATATTTTGGAGCATTTACCTGGTGTCCTTAGATGCAACACATCAAAGAAAAAAACCTGAGACCGCAGGATATCTCCATGAAACCAGAACTATCTAGCTGAGTATGGGACTAAAGGGAGGTTTGAACACATGCGCAAGAGTACAGTGCTGATATCAGGTCCTGGCAGCTGAACTGCCAGGAGCCGAAGAGAACCGGATGAAAGAAGATTGCAGCGCCCACGAGGGAGAGATTCAGGTAAGTAAAACCTACCTACCCTTCTCCCCTATGGCCACTGGACTTCCAATGGCAGCACCACTTTAAATATAGTGCCACTTCTAATTCATGCTGCGATACTGAAAGTAAGAATTCATTTGAGTTCACTGATTATTTGCGCTACCCAAAACTCAATTAAGTACACAAATTTTTAGAGATGCGCTTAATACACTCTAATCTGATGGGGACTTTTGACATTTTAAGACTAAGCGATAAATAATGACTCCATCCAAAACGCCACAGTGTAACTGAAATGTAAAT